GACTTTGTCTTGGCTCTTTAGAACTTCGCCTGTTGACAGTCTCTACATCGAGGCAGATGAGCCATCTCTTGCACAAAGCCGTATCAAATTATCATTACAGTATATTACCAAACTGTTCTCAAACAAATCTAACCCTGCATATAACTGCGTCCTTAATGACCTCTATGAGGATTTATACAACAACAAGCCTTCTCTTGTTCCGCCTCTTGCGCACAGAATTAAACCATTTCTTTTTGCTGCCGGCATTGAGCTGGATAATATATCTCCTTCCCGTCTTCTTTCTTCTCCTCCTCGGCAACTGATGAGGCCTGAAGTTAACCTAACTATGACAAAGTTTAAAAAGTCTGAAACTAATGAATTACAGTATAAACAAGAATATTATCAATTAAAATTCAAATATAATACATACAAATCCTTATTTACAGATGGGTCCAAGGACGGTGGCGCAGTGGCATGTGCCACTGTCATTGGATCCAGAACAATATCTTCTAGAATACCTGATAACAGCTCTATATTTACAGCAGAAGCAAACGCCATCTTAACAGCTCTCGAATATATCCAAAGACATCCCAAACATAACCAATATATAATATTTTCTGACTCTCTTTCTTGCCTTCAGGCTATTAAAAATCTCTCTTGCAAACATCCACTTTTACTTGAAATAATCGAATTATATAATGATCTTGCTACTCGCCAATGCGACATCGTCTTTTGTTGGTTACCCAGCCACGTTGGCATTTCTGGGAACACCATGGCTGATCTTGCTGCTAAGGCAGCACTCAACAAATCTGTGACACCACTTCTTATCCCATACTCTGATTACAAAACTAGCATAAGAACTTACATCAGTGATTTGATGCAAAAGAAGTGGGACGCCCAGGTAGGTATCAATAAATTGCATGAAATAAAACCCTATATTGGTTATACCTACTTGGGTTGTCGGTCCAGATTTGAAGAGGTCATCATGCGACGATGTCGTATTGGCAACACCAGATATACTCATGAGTAACTATTAAAAGGTGAGGATCCTCCGTTTTGTATCCCTTGTGATGAGAGAACCACTGTCAAGCATGTCCTGCTTGACTGTGATGAATTCTCCATCATAAGGGGTAGATATTTTAATGTCAAAACAGTAAAGGACCTTTTTAGTAATGTTAATTATCATTTAATCATTGATTTTTTAAAGGAGATAGATCTGTTAAATGAATTTTGATATATGTTTTGTAAATATACTCTGCAAAAAAAGAAACGCACAGGTGATAATGAAATTTAAAATTAACTTTATTTTATTTCTATGCAAACAAAACCCGGTTACTTTAACCAAACATAATGTATACTTGTTCATATCCATTAAGTATCGCTCAAACACACCATTTCATGAAATATTGTTGTTTGATGATGGTTTTTGAAAATATCATGAAATTTTCACGTGTAAATGACACTTCGAACGATATGCACGTGAAAGTTGCTTCCACCTATAAACCAGTGTTAGTGTAGGGTATATGAGGAAGGCAGTTTAACGTGTTCAATTCACTTTCAACGCCAGTTTACTGACGAATTCAACATACCACGACTTAGCAAAGCTGACCGGAACATCGCCATCGGAGTCTTGAGGCTTGCGAATCTCAGTCATCAGTTGCAAGACACTTCAGCGTGCATCACACAACAATTTCCCGTTTATGGAGGCGCTACAATCAACTGGGCTCGACCCGCGACCGACCTCAGGTGGTTAGACCACGGGTAACCAATGCTGCACAGGACCGCTACATCCGGGTGTTCCATTTACGTAACCGGGCCGTCCAACAACACAAACAACAGAAGAACGTCCCAGGTCTTCGCCGCGTCTCCGCGAGACCATCGAAATCGCCTCAGACAGCACGGGATACGCCCTCGACGACCTCACGTAGGATGCACACTACGACCTCATCATCGCCTGGCGTGTTCGATGGTGCAGGAACGTCCAGAGATGGAATTGGAGACATTGGCAGCGAATTTGGTTCAGCGACGAATCTCGTTTCCAACTTCAAAGACACGATGGTAGGACGAGGGTCTATAGACGGAGAAACGAACGTTACGCCCGTAATTGTGTAGTTGAAGCGGACAGATTTGGAGAGGAAGTGTGATGGTATGGGGGCCATTTCTTACAACGGGAGAAGTGACTTGGTGCGTCCGTGGTAACCTGACTGCAATTCGTTACAGGGGATGAAATTCTGCAACGTCATCTTTTACCTGTCATCAACCCTCAACGTCACGTTTTCCAACAGGACAACGCCAGACCGCACGTGGCTCGCATCACGATGGACTACCTGACGAATCAGAACATCACAGTTCTTCCCTGGCCTTCAAAATCCCCGATTTGAACCCAATAGAGCATTTGTGGGACCAGCTTGGGAAACGCGTTCGACGTCGTCAGCCTCAACCCCAAACGTTGCAACAACTGTCTCAAGCCTTGCAGGAGAGGAATGGAGGAGGATCCCCAAGCACGGATTCAAAGACTGATCATGTCCATGGACAGGAGGTGCCAAGCTGTGTTGCAAGCTCGAGGTGGTCACAACAGGTACTGACCTCCACGCCATCTGTACGCCCGGTGCAATGGTTTCAGAGACAAATGATAGCTGCATGTTGTAAAGCTGACTCTTGACAACATCCATGTGAAATTTTACGTTCGTGCGATCATTAGTTAAAGTTTTATTTGGAAACAAAATAAAGTGTTTACATTCCTGAGTTTTCACCTGTGCGTTTCTTTTTTTGCAGAGTATAGATAAGGTTTTATAATTGGTAGTTTAGATTATCAACTTAGATTGTTAGTGGCTGTACCCTCAAAGGGGGTTGACGTATTGTAAAATTATTGTCCTCCTGAGGGGCTACGTAAGTCCCAACACGTTTAGAGTAAATTGAGGCTTACCGCGTTTTTAATCGTAGAATATGTGTGCTTTTAATTTATGGCTAGATTTCTCTTCTGTCGCCAATGGCTGAAGGGATGGTGTAAATCCAACTAGGGTCCATGCAGGTAGCAAAGGTACTGTACGTCCCCATGCTCCCTAGTATGGTGATCTACCTTCAGTTGTTGGCGATCTATAGCCCGTTTTTATATTGTATTGTCTTCGTAAATAAAATAGTATTACATGAGTAGTATATACAGAGTAGTTCTTGTAGTGTTAGACTCCGTCTGCGTTACTCTATTTATTTTACAGTCCTTCGATGACTGACTATTTAGCAACTATAATTTATTGTTTATATAAAACATTTCTCGTCACTATATGGATGAAATATTGCCGATGTGACGTTAAATATTAACTCACTCACTAACTTTGCTATAAAAATATTGATACTGAGTTGACTGGACAATATTTTATATTAACAAGTTCGTTCAATAAACGAAAAGGCAAGTGAACTGGACTTTTTTATACTAAATGTACATGTGACAGAACTAGTTTCTCAACTGCAGATCATGTCAGGCATGGTCCAAGCTTGGCAATGTTTCTCAAGTGAAAATTTGCAGATTGGCATATTTTGGTTATGTGATGTTTCATGCTCAGCTGCTGGTCTAAAGTGACTCTAAGATTTCTCTCCTTGGCAGAGGCTGTGGTAGGAGATCCTGCAACATCGAGAAGGTGAATTGCATTGCAGGGTAAGATGTTCTTCTCGGTGTCCAGTATGATCAGTTCAGTCTTCTCCTCGTTAAGCTTGAGTAGCCGCATTGTCATCAAAGATAGGATTTTATGTCTGTACAGCACTTTTCAAAGGATGCTCTTTCCACTAAAGATCCTGAGTTGGAAAACCAGAATAAAACTGTTTGTCGTTTTCGATTTAATCCTTTCCGTATTTCTTTTTATAATAGTGATGTCAATAAGTAAAATCACGGGACCCAGTCTACTAATTTTCCCAAGCAAGCCCACACCTGTTAGACGTAGGTCAAAGTGTCATTTTACCAAACAGAGTCACGGCTGTCAAGGTCACCAAAGGTCAAATGTCAAAGAGGACGGTGTTCATCATTTTAAGTGGATGGCATTGACGTTTGTGGAGTTGTATGTTTTGGTGGAAGGAGGAGACTGAGATGAAAGTAACTTTTTTGCTTCAATATAAGGTATATGGTTGGTACACTTAATGACTTTGTTCGGTGCTCAAATGCAATACAGGTTTTGGACGAGGACAAGTGCTGACCACCGCAGGTGGCACATTTAATCTTATTCGTGCACTCAGAACTCTCATGACCTCCAAAGCAATGGGAGCATCTCGCCGTACCAGTGCAAATTAAGGTTTTATGAACAAAACGTTGACACTTGTAACATTGGAGTGGCTTCGGGACGTAGACCTCCAATCCGATGTTAAAGTAACCAGCTTTTACTGATGTGGAATTTATTGACTGTGAAAAGATGTGGGTTTTCACAATACTTCCAGCCTCTGTTGATGTTTTTTTCTGGTAAAGCACTTTATAGCGGTTACACCTTGAGATGTCAGTCCAGCTGCTATGTCCTACTCTGTCATGTCTGACAGACAGCGATGCCTCTGCGTGAAATTAGTAACTTGTTAGCCAAAATAACACTCTTCATAGTAACAAACTGCTCGGGATGCATCAGATTAACAGATCCGATCACATTCAACGAGAACTACGAGATGGATACGCAGATACTTTGGATACCCTTAGATATTCAGTTTCAGGTGATTGCCTTCAGGGGTTATTATAATTATGTGAGTCTTGGACAAGACGTTGTGAAAGGACTTCTTTATCATATGAAAGAGAATTCACATGTGCATGTTTATTTCGTGTAGATGAGTGTGAAGTTAAAGCTATGTTTCAAGAATAAGTTTCAGCATCAGCACCAGGAGCATTCTACCACTTGTCTTGGTGACGTCAGGGTCAAAGTTGTGTCTCCCGTCCTCCACTCACCAGGAGGAGGAACCGTCCTCCACCGAGCACTCATCAGGAGGAGGTACCGTCCTCCACCGAGCACTCATCAGATGGAGGTAGCAATCCTCCACCGAGCACTCACCATTAGGAGGTAGCATCCTCCGACGAGCACTCATCAGGAGGAGGAACCGTCCACCACCGAGCACTCATCAGGAGGAGGTACCGTCCTCCACCGAGCACTCATCAGAAGGAGGTAGCAATCCTCCACCGAGCACTCACCATGAGGAGGTAGCATCCTCCGACGAGCACTCATCAGGAGGAGGAACCGTCCACCACCGAGCACTCATCAGGAGGAGGTACCGTCCTCCACCGAGCACTCATCAGAAGGAGGTAGCAATCCTCCACCGAGCACTCACCATGAGGAGGTAGCATCCTCCGACGAGCACTCATCAGGAGGAGGAACCGTCCACCACCGAGCACTCATCAGGAGGAGGTACCGTCCTCCACGAGGCTCATCAGGAGGAGGTAGCAATCCTCCCACCGAGCACTCACCATGAGGAGGTAGCATCCTCCGACGAGCACTCATCAGGAGGAGGAACCGTCCACCACCGAGCACTCATCAGGAGGAGGTACCGTCCTCCACCGAGCACTCATCAGGAGGAGGAACCGTCCACCACCGAGCACTCATCAGGAGGTACCGTCCTCCACCAAGCACTCATCAGGAGGAGGTACCGTCCTCCACCGAGCACTCATTAGGAGGAGGTAGCATCCTCCACCGAGCACTCATCAGGAGGAGGAAGCATCCTCCACCGAGCACTCACCATGAGGAGGTACCGTCCTCCACCGAGCACTCTCCAGGAGTAGGTACCGTCCTCCACCGAGCACTCACCAGGACGAGGTACGGTCCTCCACCGAGCACTTACCAGGAGGAGGTACCATCCTCCACCGAGCACTCATCAGGAGGAGGTACCGTCCTCCACCAAGCACTCACCATGAGGAGGTACCGTCCTCCACCGAGCACTCATCAGGAGGAGGAACCGTCCACCACCGAGCACTCATCAGGAGGAGGTACCGTCCTCCACCGAGCACTCATCAGGAGGAGGTACCGTCCTCCACCGAGCACTCATCAGGAGGAGGTAGCATCCTCCACCGAGCACTCACCAGGACGAGGTACGGTCCTCCACCGAGCACTCAGTAGGAGGAGGTACGGTCCTCCACCGAGCACTCCGTGGGAGGAGGTACGGTCCTCCACCGAGCACTCACCAGGAGGAGGTACCATCCTCCACCGAGCACTCATCAGGAGGAGGTACCGTCCTCCACCGAGCACTCATCAGGAGGAGGTACCGTCCTCCACCGAGCACACACCAGGAGGAGGTACCGTCCTCCACCGAACACTCATCAGGAGGTTGTACCATCCTCCCACGAGCCTCATCAGAAGGAGGTACCGTCCTCCACCGAACACTCATCAGGAGGATGTACCGTCCTCCACCGAGCACTCATCAGGAGGAGGTACCGTTCTCCACCGAGCACTCACCAGGAGGAGGTACCGTTCTCCACCGAGCACTCATCAGGAGGATGTACCGTCCTCCACCAAGCACTCACCAGGAGGAGGTACCGTTCTCCTGGTACCTCATCAGGAGGAGGTACCGTCCTCCACCGAGCACTCATCAGGAGGAGGTACCGTCCTCCACCGAGCACACACCAGGAGGAGGTACCGTCCTCCACCGAACACTCATCAGGAGGTTGTACCATCCTCCACCGAGCCCTCATCAGAAGGAGGTACCGTCCTCCACCGAACACTCATCAGGAGGATGTACCGTCCTCCACCGAGCACTCATCAGGAGGAGGTACCGTTCTCCACCGAGCACTCACCAGGAGGAGGTACCGTTCTCCACCGAGCACTCATCAGGAGGATGTACCGTCCTCCACCAAGCACTCACCAGGAGGAGGTACCGTTCTCCTGGTACCTCATCAGGAGGAGGTACCGTCCTCCACCGAGCAGTCACCAGGAGGAGGTACCGTTCTCCACCGAGCACTTATCAGGAGGAGGTACCGTTCTCCACCGAGCACTTATCAGGAGGATGTACCATCCTCCACCGAGCACTCATCAGGGGGAGGTACCGTCCTCCACCGAGCACTCATCAGGAGGAGGTACCGTCCTCCACAGGGCACACACCAGGGGGAGGTACCGTCCTCCACAGGGCACTCACCCGGAGGAGGTACCGTCCTCCACCTACCACTCACCCGGAGGAGGTACCGTCCTCAACCAGGCACTCACCAGGACGAGGTACCGTCCTCCACCGGGCACTCACCAGGAGGAGGTACCGTCCTCCAGCGAGCACTCACCAGGAGGAGGTACCGTCCTCCACCGAGCACTCACCAGGACGAGGTACCGTCCTCCACCGCACACTCACCAGGACGAGGTACCCACCTCCACCGAGCACTCACCAGGACGAAGTACCGTCCTCCACCGAGCACTCACCAGGACGAGGTACCGTCCTCCACCGAGCACTCACCAGGAGGAGGTACCGTTCTCCACCGAGCACTCATCAGGGGGAGGTACCGTCCTCCACCAAGCACTCATTAGGGGGAGGTACCGTCCTCCACCGAACACTCATTAGGAGGAGGTACAGTCCTCCACCGGGCACACACCAGGGGGAGGTACCGTCCTCCACCGAACACTCATCAGGAGGATGTACCGTCCTCCACCGAGCACTCATCAGGAGGAGGTACCGTCCTCCACAGGGCACACACCAGGGGGAGGTACCGTCCTCCACCGACCACTCACCCGGAGGAGGTACCGTCCTCAACTGGGCACTCACCAGGACGAGGTACCGTCCTCAACCGGGCACTCACCAGGAGGAGGTACCGTCCTCCACCGAGCACTCACCAGGAGGAGGTACCGTCCTCCACTGCGCGCTCACCAGGACGAGGTACCGTCCTCCACCGAGCACTCACCAGGACGAAGTACCGTCCTCCACCGAGCACTCACCAGGAAGAAGTACCGTCCTCCACCGGTCACTCACTAGGACGAGGTACCGTCCTCCACCGAGCACTCACCAGGACGAGGTACCGTCCTCCACCGAGCACTCACCAGGACGAGGTACCGCCCTCCACCGAGCACTCACCAGGAGGAGTTGGTTCTTCACGAGTGCTTCAGAATGTGGGCTTGTGTAAATGTAGTGTCATCGGTCGGTGATTATGTGTGTTGGTATTTCGTGGAGTGCAGTTGTGTATTGGCGTGTGTATTTATAATGTGTGTGTGAGTGAGTGAGTGTGTGTGAGAGTCTGTGTGTGTCTGTGTGTGTCTCTCTCTGTTTGCTTTTTCTTCTGTTTCTTTGTTTGGTTTGTTTGGTTTTTATTGGTTTTTTTATACATTTTGTCCGTGTGTGTTGAGATGGGGCCCCTTTTTAAACTTGCCTTAAAAAATTATATCGAGATATTTTATGATTAAGGCATTTTGTACATCGAAAAACAAATAAACGTTCTGTACCGACATATACTGATATAAGGCCCATCGTATGCCTAAGGTAAATAATTCCATATTGACCTTCAATGATATAATCCACGTGGTGTAAAAGATGCAGAAAATTATACATCGACACATGTTTGGATTGAGTCCATACTATTCCAGATATAACATTCTAGATTCTTGTGGATGAATGAACAATCACAGGCGATCATATCACTACATCCGGGTTAGAATATTGATCTTCAGTAACCCATGCTTGTCGTAATAGGCGACTAAAGGGATGTCATCGGTTCCCAATTGCGCAGATCGATGCTCATGCTGTTGATCACTGGATTGTCTGGTCTAGACTCGATTATTTACAAACTGCTGGCATATAGCTGGTATATTGCTGAGTGCTGCGTAAAACTAAACTCACTCACTCATATCCCAACTCTCACGGATGACTTATGTCGGCCACCCTACTTATACTGGCAACCAGTTGTTCAGTCATCATCATTGTCATCCATGCCATTGCCGGAGTCATAAGAGAAGAGAAGTGAGTCAGTGAGTAAAAATTATAATCACTTTGCCAATACTTCAGCCATATCGCGACTTAAAATGGTCATATTTCGGTAATTTGTAATGTTATATATTAAAATCAGTCTGCGATTGACAGTAACAGATGTAGAATATCACAGCTAGTTTAAAATTAGCCTGCGACTTAAAAGTATATACTATTTAGGACATTACAATATAAATAGCAGGTTATAGATCACCAGCATCTAAATGTAGGTCACCATCCTAGGGACCATGGGGACTTACAGTACCTTTGCTACCTGCATGGACAGGGTGGCCTGGTATGATGCAGACGTCACAGATATCAGTAATACCTTGGTCCAGCGTAATCTGGACCGTGCAGTCAGAGTTATTTATCACTGTGGGGGCAATGTCTTGTCAACTCTCAGGCTCACGTTGGTTTTACTATCCAGTACCCCTTCGAGGCAACCTGAACTGATTGTTCCAGTCCAGGAACGCTATCACGTAAGGAGCAATGTAGTCGTCAATTTGAATTCACCTTGAACTCCTTGACCATAAAATAGCAGGTCAAGGATATACTCCCTCTCCCCATCCCTTACGTTCTCATGGGGGATTTAAAAGGTCATGACCCATTTTGGGTAGTAATACCAAAATGCAAAAAGGAGAGATACTTCATGAGTTCTTGTCAATCAATGATTTATGTATATATATTGATGGTATAAACACATATCTTCATTTTGCAAAATGTTCATACTCTTCTCTGGATTTATCTGTAGTTGATTCCAGTTAATGAATTTGAACTGTCAGTCCAATAGGAAGTTTCCGAGAGTGACTATTTCCCCAGTATTCTATCAGCCATAAATCCCACTGATGCTCCACCATTATCTCTCGATTTGTTTTCAGTTCATGCATTATACAATAAACGATTAAAACCCAAATAATTTATGAATGTCCTTGATATCCTATTTAAGCATTTTCTGGTGAAGTAAACATAACTGATGATGATTCACTGTGTATTCCAAAGTCCTCTGTGGTTCCACATATTCGTGCACCATGTTTTAACACTGATTGCAAAGAAACTAGAAAAGCAAGGGAAAAGGCGGAAAGATATTTCCTCAGCAATCCAACACTTCCCGACCTAAATCAGTTTAAAATTTCAAATGCCAAAGCTTCACGCACGTTTGATTAACAACAGATATACAACAGTCATGGAAAAACTTAGTTCACGAGCTCATATTTCAAAGTATGGTATGCGTTGCTGAAGATTTAGGGCAAAGGGTCTGGCAGTAGTGTTCATCATCGTAAGGATGGAGACAATTTCATAACATAAAAATATCAAATTGCAAATATGTCAAGTGAAACTTTAACGCAATCTTCATCATCCAACTTACAGAACAGCAAAAAGAAGAAACTCTACTCATCTATCAAAAACATAAGGATACACTTGATTAAAACAAGTCATATGTTACTTCCAATACTATTTTGACAGGTAGATTCAAGGAGGGTGACACAGTATCCAGAGCCAGCGTTATTGGATCCGGGACTGTATCTTCCAGAATACCAGAAAACTGCGACATCTTTAGGGCCCAAACACACGCAATATCAACAACATTAAAGTACATTAGTCAACAGACCAAACATAAACAATTTATTATTTTTTAATACTCGTCATCTTGTCTTCAGGCAATTAAAAGTCAGTCTTGTAAACATCCACTTTTAATAGATATTATTATCTTCTGTTGGTCATCCAGTCGTGTAAGAATGCCTGGTAACACAATGGCTGATGGAAAAGTAGTTCTTAAAAAATCTGTGACACCACTTCCGATGTCCTACATTGACTATAAACCCTTGATAAGATTTTACATCCGTGATCTGATGCAACAGAAGTCGGACACCCGCGTAGGTGTCAATAAATTACATCAAATTGAACTAACTGTCTGTTATCCCCACTTGGGTAGTCAGTCCATGTTTGAGGAGGTCGTCTTAAGACGGTCATTTACCTTTACAATTGTATATTTATTGCTAGGTGAAACTCCTCTATTTTGTATCGCTTCCAGTGAAAGATTAACAGTCAAGAATGTCCTGCTTGACTGTGTGGATTTATTCATCAGAAGGATAAATATTTCAAACTTTTATATTTGAAGGATCTTTTAGCGTGAATTTCCGTTTAATTATAGACTTTCAAAACGAAATTGACGGAATCCAGGTTAGGCCTTGGACATATCATTTCACAAGGAATCTGGTTCAAACTACAAATATCAATAATCAAGACCAAAACAATTTTATCGTTATCGTTAGTTGACCGCGATCAGTTGTTGACTTTGGACATAATATACTTATCTGTCGAGGTATCTCACAGTTATGAATAACGGCTGTAAGTATTAACTATGCCCGGCAGTTTTTGGACTGTACAGTACAGTCGGACGGTGGTTCGTATCTTGTGTCACAATGCCTTGGTTATGAATTATTACAGAACAATACAGTTCACAAACGGATGGTAAATAGCTAGATATATCCAACTGCTAAAACTGCGTCTTAGGCACCATTACAGCAGACTCATCTGTTTGTTTACTTCAGCTGTCAAGTCAAATGTTCTCAGTCAGGAATTACTGGTAACCTCTCACTCACACATGAAAACGGTAGATGCATTCTAAAATTATCCAGTGAGGGAGGACATTTGGAGATGGTGCGATATATCACGTCACTAAGAATTTTAAACCGTCATCGCTGAGAACCAGACATATGTTATATTTAGGATTACACTTCCTTGGTGAAGAAGAGATTCCAGTACTCTTGTTGGGTAACGTCCCATCCGGGATTCTAGCCCACACCCTCAGAATCAGGCGCCTATTCGCCAGCACACAAAGTCAGACGCTTAGCCTATGTTAGGTTTGACCACTTTCTCAATGGCATTGTGCATCAGCGCTGAGAACCATAATGAGAGTCAGCAGCCGAGAAAACGAGTCTACAAAGAACGTAGCAACGGTACCCTTTGCACCTTCTTGTGTCACCCGGTGCTAACATGTAACAGGTGCATTGTTTGTGAATCTTTATATTTTGTATACAGAGTATATTTGGGTTAGGACTTCACCCAAGACTTGCTTACCCTTACCACCAACGACGAGTGAGTGAGTGAGTGAGTGAGTTAATATGTAACGTCACATCGGCAATATTTCAGCCATATCGTGACGAGAACATTTGATATTGAAATGAAATATATGTATGTTATAAAAAACCTGCCGACGAAGGACAGTAGAACAACTAGAATATCACAGTTTGTATGAAAAACTAGTAATTAAATCTAAAACGTTTTAACTATAGGGGGAAAAACAATACAGTATAAAAATGGGCTATAAATCGCCAATAACTGAAGGTAGATCACCATACCAGGGTGAGTGAGTGAGTGAGTTAAGATTTTAAGTCACATCGGCAATATTTCAGCCATATCGTGACTACACCATACCAGGGACCATGGGGACTTACATTACTTTTGCTACCTGCTTGGACCCTAGTTGGATTTACATCAACCCTTCAGCCATTGGCGACAGAAGAGAAATCTAGCCATAAATTAAAAGCACACATATTCTACGATTAAAAACGTGGCAAGCTTAAATTTACTCTAAATGTGTCGGG